ATCCCTCTGGAGCAGCCAAAGGAGCCCCCACTGCCCAGGGATCAGAGTCCTCCAGGGACCTCTGACCACCGCTCTTGCTCCAAGATCATTTCTCAAGTGCTTTGCTGAACCAAGTGCGGGTTGATAACGGGACGGGGAGACCGCGCTCGGATGGTGAGGTGGTGCCGAGCAAGAGCAACGGGAGGTCCCCGTCCCCACCTCCCTCTGGGAAAAAAACTCCTACATGAAACATGAAGAAAATGTGCTTATTACCCAAAGGCCAAGACTGAAACTTCATATTTGGTTCTAAAAGTTTGGCTTTGGTAAAAGAAAGAAACAGTGCGAGGGGACCCTCCCCATGGGCTGCCAGCAGCACCCCGACCCGCCCCCCGCCCCGCCGGGAGCCTCCTGGGAACGACCAGCTCCACACAACAGAAACCTGACACACATCATCCTAACAGGAGCCACCTTCATTTAAAAAATAAAGACAAAAAAAAAAGATGTAATACCTTATTTTGGTTACAGAAATGCTTTTTCTCTCTGATACGCTGGGCAGAACCACCACAGCGTGAGGCTCACGCGGTCCCATCGCAGTCTCGCCGGGAAAGAGGAGGCGAGTGGCCACCGAGGAGTCAGTGGGAGAGAGGGATCCTTTTCTCCCCACTCCCATCCCAGAGGGATCACACTGGGATAACCCCTGGGGGGGTTCACGGGTGGGAGTCTCAGCCCCACGCTCCCCACTTTCGGCAAGGCTGCGGAGGGAAAGGAGGTCGGGGGGGGAGAAGATGGTTCCCAAAATACCTGTTGCCCTGTCAGCCCCGTTCTCATTCTCTGCATCCCAGTCTTTGGCTTTGAACAGACTCGTGATATGGAGAAAGAGTTTTGTTTTGATGCAAGTGATATTGTTACAGTAAATTCAGAAAGAAAAAAAAAAACCCCAAAACTAAAAAACCCCCCCTCCAAAAACAGGAAAAAAAAAACCCCAAAAAACAAAAACAGTGCAACATTCTTGAATGCTTCAAACCTGCATTATAAATATGATTTCTAAAATTCAAAAAAAAACAAACCCCAAAACAAACAAACAAAAAAAAACCCCCCAAAAAACCTCAATGATCTCACGTACACGCATGCTAATAAACCTGCCAAGACGCTGCGTTAGAAAAACAAACACAGAGCTACTGAGGGTTGTGAATAAGGACTTTGAAGTGCATTTGTTTCCTTATTAAAAGGCTAAAACTTTCAGAATATTTTTTTTTAAATGATTTTTTTGTTGTTTTTTTTTTTTTTAAAGGTAAATGCTCATCTCTTTATAAATAACTCTTTTCTTTTTTTTTTTCTTTTTTTTTAATTATAAAAAAAAAAAAAAGCAACACTGACTATCGCGTGGAAACGACCACGCGAAACAAGAGAATGAAAATTGAAGAAAGAAGAATTTCTTAGGATCTGACATTTTGCCAAGGAAAAAAAAAACAACCCAAAAACCCCAAAAACCCCCCAAAAAATCAACAAACCAACCAACCAACCAACCAACAGAATCCCTAAAGTGCCTGGTGTGGGGAGGGAGGTTCCAGCAACGCATCCGCAGCCGGTCGACCGCGGGGTTGGGCAGCAGCACCCGTTTTTGCATATAAATGACAGCTGCCAAAAGGATATTTTAGTGTCCCAGGTACAGTAGATTTTGATTCAAGTGTTTGTATTGGAATCAGAAGGATGAAAAGTGAGGGGAAAAAAAAAAAAGTCATTGCAAAGAGAGGAGCAGTTACAGTGGCACTTGGCCAGGAGCCAACACCCACCCCAGCGCTTGCAAAACCAGTCAATTCCCCAAAAAATCCCACCCTCCCCCCAATATCCCCACCAAGAGTTCAGGCTTCCCCATCCCAGCTGGATGGAGCAAGGGCTGGGGGCAGCTCCGGGGGTGTCCCAGAGGTGAGGCAGGGCAGGAGGTTGGCATGGGGCACTGGGAAATGATAGAACTGATTTCAATCCACCCCAAAAGGTGGGGGACAAACACCCCCCCCTTCCCCATCTGCAGGTCAGTGGATGGTGGCACCTGCATCACCACAGCTGGGTGAAGCCCGAAGCCTGCAGCACCCATCTCCTGCCCTGTCATCAGAGGGGTGTGAGCTGCCGGGGAGAGGATGAGGAAGGGGCAGGGGATGGGAACAGCACTTGCCAGCTGCTCATTAAACCAATTAACAGCTTTGGCACCGGCATTGGCAACCCAACGAGAAGAGGAAGATCTGAACTCTTGGCTTACCCGGCCATGCTAGAAGACCTGCCCAGTCTTGTTCTCCTTTAAAGTGCCCTATATTTATAGAATTTCTAAATAAATATAATAAGATATTAGGTCACCCATAGTTTAAGCTACTCCGAGTAACAGCCGTCCAAGCCGATGGCGTTGTGCCGGTCCTTGCCGTAGGGGCAGGTGCTGCCGTTGGGCAGAGCCCCGCAGGCGGCGGTTTTGGCTGCAATGCCGCAGTTCTTGAGGAGGTTGAAGCTGAAAGAGCTGATGGCGTCTTTAGGTGGGAAAGGCTTCATGGTGGAGAGGATAAGTGCCAGGCAGTCAGCGACGTCCTTGTTGGGAGCACATGCCAAGGCTGGGGTATGACCTAGAACAAAGTCAAGGGGGTGAAGAACCGCCCCGGATGGGCACCTTCCCCAGGGAATGCTTGGACTGGGGCAGTTTTTACCCCTGCCCTGAGGGGTCAGGACATCTAATTTGTCTTTATAGAATCATAGAATGGTTTGGATTGGAAGGGACCTTAAAGCTCATCCAGTCCCACCCCCCCTGCCAGCAGCAGGGACACCTTCCACTAGACCAGGTTGCTCAAAGCCTCATCCAGCCTGGCCTTCAACACTTCCAGGGAGGAGCATCCACAACTTCCTTGGCCAACCTGTTCCAGTGTCTGACCACCCTCACAGTGAAGAACTTCTTCCTAATATCTAATCTAAACCTCCCCTCTTTCAGCTTAAACCTGCCCTCTTTCAGCTTTTATCTCAAAAGACCCTGCTCCTGGGCACCTGTAATCCCTGCAATGGCTTTAAAGTGTGCCAGGAACAGCAGGAGATGAAGAAAAAGCCTCAGAAGCCCTTGGCAGCATGGCAAATACAATGATATTTTTCACAACTTTAAGGTATTCCAGCAGAACAAGAACTCAGCTGGGGAGAAAAAGCTTCTGGCCACAACCACCAGCTTCTGCCAACTTGCAAGTGAGTCAACAGCTTATTGCTGGTTCAGGTTGGGCTGGTTTCGTGCCTGCTTGCAACCGGCAGGAGAGCCAGACAGCCACCAGAAGAGGCAAGGGGGGTAAAAGGGGGGATAAAAGGGGGGGTAAAAGACATTTTAAACCACTGTGGGACCTGGAAATGCTTTTAGAGGGGACTGCAGTCTGCTAACATCCTCAGCCAGGCTGTTCACATCCTCAGCCAGGCTGTTCCTGCGATGCCACGAGCTGAAAACCTGCTGCTCAGCTGCGGAAAGGATGTGGGAATCCTTCTGATCCCAGCTGAGCCCTTCCCCAGGCAGCTCCCATCCCCCAGGACACCCCCCCGGGCACCCATGAGGAACACACACCTTCTTCATCCACAGCCAGCACAGTGGCACCTCTGCTGAGCAGGGCCTGGACGACGGAGGCCAGCCCGTTCCGAGCTGCAATGTGGAGCGGCCTGGGGGGGGGGAGAGGGAAAGGCAGTGTCAACCCAGCAGCATCAACCCAACCTGCTCTTAACACCTTGTGCTGAAACAAGGGCCCTCTGCAAGCAGCTTTGAGGGCAGACACTGTCCTCAGCTCCTCAGCCCACCTGCCTGCACGTGGAGCTCCCACCACCCACTCGCAATGTCTCACCCACCCAGCAAAGCCCTGGGTTTTTCCCCCACCCCCCCGCTGGCACCAGCTGTCCAAATACTCACATCTGCAGAGCACTGTTACTTGCATTGATAAGGCCAAGGTCTTGGGTTTCCCCCAGGATCAACAAGGCACACTTTTCATGACCCTGGAAAGGAGATCAGACTGTGGATAGTGCAGGAGCAGGAAGGCAGGGGCAGTGGAGGGGTGACCTGGTGCTGTCTGAGTGGAATGTGATTCCCTGGGATACAGAAACGTTCCCTAAACTCGACCTTTAACACCAGTTCACCATTTCAGCAGGGTCTGACAAGCTGCTCTCCCCTCCATCTCCTCTGCAGCATCTCCTTTGCATGGACACACCAACCACAAGCCTCCTGCTCGCACCAGGCTGCAGGGAACACACAGAGCTCAGAGAGGGGATCCCCAGGAAAAATACAGATGGGTCTGTGCTACAACCTAAGCTGCTCAAAACTGAATCAGGAGCATTTGCACAGGTCAAGACAGGTAAGCAGGCAGGCAGAGCAAGCCCAGGGCCCTCACCCTCTGCTCTGGTGGGGCAGGAGTAGGCGTACAACCCCTCTCATTAAGGTGACAAGGCTGAAGGTGATGGTGATGCAATGAGCAGCCAGCTCCTACCTTGCTGCAGGCCAGGTGAAGAGCTGTGTTCTTGTTGACATCCAGCACAGTTATATTTGCTTTTGCTTGGTACAGCAGGAACTCTGAAATGAGGAGGAAGAGCTGCTGTTGAGAAGTAGCAGCACAGAGCCTGGTAATGTGGGGCAGTGGCCATGTGTTGAGGGCACAGAGGAGAGGGGCAGCTGTCCCAGTGTGCCTACGAGAAGAGGGACAGCCCAGCTCCCATGGGACCCAGTGACAGAGGAGGGACAGGGAGATTTGCACTCTGTACTGAAGAAAGAGACCACCAGACACGTACCAACTGCTGCAGTGTGCCCATTCTCAGAAGCCATCATCAGGGGAGTCCTCCCCAGCTTGTCAGTCATGTCCACCTCGGCTTGGTGGCGCAGAAGCAGCTGTAAACCATGGATGTTGTCTGCAAAGGCAGCAGCGTGAAGGGGTGTCCTGTGAAAATGAGAGTGAATCAAGAGGAGAGCACAGCACCCACCCCAGCAAGACCACCCAGGCCTACAGACAGGTTTGGAGATGTCAGAGACCCCTTTGTGCCATGGGAAGTCATGTGGGAATCACTGCGGGAGTCACAGCCACCACCCAGCAGCACCAGGGAGTGGGTGACAAGAGAGGGACGAGCCTGCACTCACCTTCCTTTGGCATCTCTGCTATTAACAATCTTGGCACCTAATGCTTCCACCAGCATTTCAGCAGTGCCATCCTGGTTGTTAATTCTGCAGTGGGGACAAGAAGGAAAGTTACAACCAGACTCACCAGCGTTAGCACGTTTGCAGTGGGAGTGAGCAGCACCTTCCTGGGGCTCGGATGCAAAGAGCAGCTGATCTGGAGTTGTTTAGGGTAAAACACCCCTTTACCCTTCTCTGAACACAGCTACTGTGCCAGACAACAGCCTCGCCCATCCCTCTGCTGCTCTGTGTCCCAAGGACACACCAGGCCCACCCCAGGCAGAATGTGGCAATGCCTCCACTTTCCTCATCCCTCCACCCAGGATGATGAAGAACCCAGGGCAGGTCCCAGACACCACTTACACTGCACAGTGCAATGGAGTAAAGGGATTTCCTTCTAGGTATGCAAACGGGTTGTGTTCAAGTAACAATTCAAGACAATCTTCATGCCCTGTGAGGAGAGAGGGACAGAAATACATCAGCACCCAGCCTGCAGTTCCTCACCTGTAAGAGCAAGAAGGGACCAAAGGCCCCTCTGGTTTTCCACACATCCAAAGAGCCAAAGCCCCAGAGGCTGCACAGGACCAGCAGCACCAAAGTGCTCAAACAAACCCATATCCCAGCACAGAGGCAGTGGTTTTGTTTCCTCTCTGGCAGCAAAGCTGCTGCACTTCAAGAGGTTTCTAATTCCACACCACCTCCTGAAGGACTTCACAGCCCCATTGCTAACTTCCCTTTGAAATGCTGAGACATCCCTTCCTGTTGCCATATCGGTCCCACCACTCCCTTCAGCCAGGGTGACAGCCAAGTCACCCTATAAATCCAGCAGTGCTGGAGGAAGCAGCCTCAGTTGTTCTGTAAGAGCTGTTTTCGTATTTCATTCCTTTTTTAAGGTGCTTGGCAGTGGGATATAAACTCCCTGCCTCCCTCCCAGATTTGTGCCATCCTTTCCACCAGGCTGAACTCAGTGCTGGGCTGACAGCTCCCAAAGCAGTGGGGGACAGAGGGACAACCTGGCTCTTCTCCCTCCTCCCCATCAGTAGCCAAAGCAGAGTGGGCAGGGGTCCAGCCTATGTCCTTACCACTGTATGAAGCCCAGTGCATCGGTGAGTAGCCGCTGTAGTCCACGACAGAGTCCAGAGGGTCAGTAGAGAGGGCTGCCTGCAGCAGGGTCCTCAGGATTTCTAAGTGCCCACACGCCGACGCAAAGTGGATCGGGGTCCGGCCTTTGAAATCCCGACACAGAACGAAGGCATCATGGTCCAGCAGGGCAGCCAGGCAGTCCTCACACCCTGTCACAGCCTGTGGCCAGGAAAGAGGACCAGGAGGTCAGATCTCACCCTGCAATCATTTAACAACAAAACTACTCCCTTCTTCCACAGCTTCCTTCTCAAATATTGCATTTCAGGAAAGGGAAATGGGCTCTTTCACTGAAAATTCTTGTGCCAAAAGAAACCACCTGCTTGTTCTCCAAGCAGCCTCCCTGCAGGAGGACAAGCAGAAGTGTCAGGGCTCCAGGCTGGCCCTGGTGCCAGGGATGTGCTCACCCCTCGGTGCAGGGCGGTCCTCCCCCTCTTGTCTGCTGCATCGGCTGTGGATCCCTTCTCCAGCAGGAGATGGACACAGTCAACGTGGCCATTCATGATCGCCAGCATCAGTGGGGTTCTGTGGGAGAAGAAGCAGCAGGGAGGAGAGTGGGCTTGGAAATCAGCTGGGTTTGAGTATTGCCCTCTCTTCCCTGTCCCAGCCACCCTGCACCACACAGATCCCAAGAGAAACATGGGGACAGACTCACTGGCCGTGGATGTCCATGACGTCGGTGATGTCTGCCCGCTCCCCGCTGTCTATCAGGAGGTGCAGGGAATCAGTGTTCCCGTTGGCAGCTGGAGACAAGGGGTGAGGGAAGGAGTCACACACAGGTACAGACGGGTCCCCTCCTTCCAGCCACCACCACAAACCAAAGGAAGGGGCTCGTGCTCAGCAGCCAGGCACACGTGGCTGAGGAAATTCGTTACGCGGTTGCTAGGCTACAGGATTGATTAGCACGTGCACAGGCTGAGCTGAAGACACGTGCGTGCAGAAGCTGCTGGTGTCTTCTCTCCCACCTGCTGCTGAGCCACTTAGACCTTCAGCTTCTGCTGGCACGTCACAGTCAGCTGCACCAACCCCATCACCCTAAACCACAGCCCTTCCCTCTCCCCAAACAGCCAGCGGCACCGATGGCTGGAAGGGCTCTGGACACACTCCCTTACTGTCCCCTGATGGTCCCCAGCCCCATCTGCCCTCCATCACCTGCCG